GAGGGGGGGGGGAGAAAGCAACAACACCAAGAATAAGTTTTTTTTTACATAATTACCTTGTTCCTCAGCATAACCTCGGCAACCCCGACAAAATGATCTTACAGCGATTATTTTCTAAGGGAATTGACTGCAAAGTGTTTTCCATACATTTAATTTTCGACTATTCAGAAAGAGTTTGTGGTGTGATGGTTAAGCCTTTCTCTTTGCAACCAAATGACGCGGAGTCGCTCCTGCTTTGGGTAATTTACTACTACTCTAACGCTCTCTGTCATAACTGAGAGGTGAACCGCAACCCGGCAGACGGAATACGATACTTGAACAAGAAAAGTTTCTTTGGCGTAGCATTCGAACTCACATCTGTTGCAATTCTAAGATTGAGAGCCTGATCAACACACCAGAGACCGAGGTTCCAACTTTAGTCTGAGCAAAGAAACGTAAACCGAGAAAAGGTCAGTCTGTTAGTTTTAGGAGATCGTAAGACAGAAAAGTGAGGAATGAAAGAAAGAAAAAAAAGAAAGAAAAAAAAGTAACAGAACATTTTTAATAAGAAAGGTCACACAGAAAAGTAAGAAAGAAAAAAGAAAAGTAAGCAAGACAGAAAAGTAAAAACAGTAAGGCAGGAAAATACGGAAAGACAAATAAAGAAACAGCAGAAACAACAGTATGAAATGAAAGAAGTAGGACCCATCAATGACGCCCTCCAGCGACCCGCACCCTGTGAACTCAAAGAAGATTAAGAAGATTAAGTTGCAATAACACACTGGTGTTGTGTGCTTCAATTGCAAACGAAGTACTGCGAAATTTGATATAATCCAGAGTTTTGGAACAAGACTTAGATCTAGTGAAAGCGAGATGTGATGTAGGAAACACGGCTCAGAAAAACTAGGAGCCTTGAAGGGCGAAAGGTTGAGCTCAGTCAGCGGAACGTTGGCGTGAAGTAAATATATTCAGTGCAACGGGATACTTATTGTAGTTGTAGTTGTTTTTAGTTGAAAGAAAGGGAAAGGGAGAGGGATATAGACAGAGAGAGATAAAGTTAGATAGATAGATTGATAGAGACAGAGAGAGACACAGAGAGAGAGAGAGAAAGAGAGAGAGAGAGAGAGAGAGAGAGAGAGAGAGAGAGAGAGAGAGAGAGAGAGAGGGGGGGGGTGGTGGAGGGATGGATGGGTGGAAAGGAGAGAAATGAAAAAATTGAGGAATTTAGAGTCAGCGAAAATGGAGTGAGAAGGAGGAGTAGGAGAGGGGTAGGGTGGTTTGAGACGAATTTAAATTAACTATAATTTTTAAAAGAATAGTGTAGAAACAGGTATCTAATATTATGTAAGTCATATCAAAAGGAAAATTATCAATTTCAAGAATAAATGTTCATATTTAGCCCTCAAATGAAAGCGTTCAGCTCCAAATAAATCACAATCTAAAACAAGTATAGTTTGTGAAGTTGACCTTTTTTAACAGGTCGTGTTGTAAACATCAATACTCTAGCAACATTTAATGAAGAAGAATGAAATAAATACATGTCGTACTACTGTTCGGCAGCAAGATCTCTGGTAAGGAGGTCAGGTCGGTGGGCTCCAATTACGAAGAATATTTAAAGATTTTATTTCGTTGCGTTCTGAGCTTTGGTGTCGTATTCTTTTGTTCTTTTGAGACGTTTACTTTCGATGGAGAGAATGATATATGAAAGTAAAAAAGTAGAAGTCAACGCCCATTGTCTCAGAGGGAACGAGAGACAGAAAGTGAGAAAGAGAGAGAGAGAGAGGCAGACATATAGAGCGACAGGGAAGAGAGAGAGAGAGAGAGAGAG